AAAGGGCAGAGGCTGGCCTAAACCCTGAACCTCACAACCTTCAAACCCCAAGCCCTGAATCGGCTAGGGTTGCTGTTGAAGGTTCAAAGGTTCAAGGCTTACGGGTTTTAGGGTCTACCTGAAGGCGACAGAGCCAGAAACAGGGATTGGGGTTTAGGATCACCAGAAGTGGGGTTATGCTTGCCCAATCAGGCAGTTTTAGTAGTCAGGAATCTCCAAGTTGTCAGCAATGGGGCTTCGACTGTTCACAAGATCTGGATTTAACCCTAAACCCCAAACCCCAAACCCTAAACCCTAATCCCTACACCCCGGGCCCTCTCCACTCTAAACCTTGTCAGGGCCATGTAGGGTTCCAACAAGATCTGGGGACCCGAAACCCTAAACCCTAAACCCTAAACCCTAAACCCTAAGGCCCTTAAAAGGCACGGGGATGGCCTTTCGATTCAGGGCCATTCAGGGATAGCTGGGGCCTTAGGATTTGGGTTCGGAGGCCTTCAGGCGTCAGGGGGTTCCTGGGCTTATAGAGTGATTTAGGGGCAGATTTTGCTACTCTAGACGACCTTCGGGTGTGGACCCCGACCTGCTGCCCAGCCCGCGGCGACGCGGCTTGCGGACGAGAGCGTGGCGGCGGTTTTTGCAAGGCAGCTCGGATGCGGTTAAGGGGTTTTGAAGTCAGGGTCAAGTGGGCCTGGAAGTTGGTGTTTGGGATAATTATGGACTCAATTTCCTGCGCGAAGCGAAGCCTTGCAAAGCCGATAAGTCCTAAGCCTTATTGACCTAAAACCCTAAACCCTAAACCCTAAACCCTAAACCCTAAACCCTAAACCCTAAACGCTAAACCCTAAACCCTAAACCCTAAACCCTAAACCTAAACCCTATCAACCTGTGGAACCCTGCAAACCCTTGCAACTCTAGTGACCCGGTAAGCTTGGAACCCTGAGCCCTTAAAATCCCCGTAGTCACGATGAACCCTCAGAACCATAAAACCCTATGGCCTAAGCCGCCAACATCCTGTATACTCTTGGAGCCCTTAGAACCCTAAGCCCATAAAACCCCATAAACCCTGAGAAGCCCTGTAACCCTCTGATCCCTAGTGAGACCTGAGAGCCCTCTAAAACCCTCGGAGCCCTAAGAACCCTGTCAACCCTCAGCCGGCCTGCCAGAGGTCTTCCATGAAAGACTGTGTGCACCTGGACAAGCCCCCCCGGCCACGATTTTAGGGTTTAAGGGTTTAGGCTTTAGGGTTTAGGGGCTTTTCAAAAGGAAATCCAATTCTTGTAAGAAAAGTTGGGTTCGGGCTTGGTGGGGTGGATGCGGGATCATGCTTAAAGTTCTTTGGGCCTTGATATTGCTACATTACATAGTTTTTATTGGGGCCCCAAGCCCGTAAGGGCTTAACGAAGGCAAAAGAGGCTTAAGCTTAAGGGTGGGCGTCATAAAAAAAGAACTGATGGGGTCCTAGTTAACCCCAAGCCCCAGGCCCCCGAAAACCCTCAACCCTACACCCTAAACCCTATAAACCCTAAACCCTAAACTCTAAGCCCTAAACCCCAAACCCTAAACCCTAAACCCCAAACCCCAAACCCCAAACCCTAAACCCTAAACCCTAAGCCCCCCCAAACCCCGAACCCCAAACCGCCGAGCCAGGCTGGGGAGCCGAATTCCGCCCGAAGAGGTGTTCGCCTCCCTGGTGGAGCACTTCCGGCGCGGGCACCCGGAGCCGACTTCGGGCTCAGGGCTCTTTTGGGGCGACCTAACTGGGGTTTAGGGTTTAGGGTTTAGGGTTTAGGGTTTAGGGTTTGGGGCTTGGGGTTCGGGGTTTAGGGCTTGGGTTTGGGGTTTAGGGTCTGGGATGCCAAGAGGCAAGGCAAGGATCCAGCCACCACTTTGGACATGGCATTGAAGGCAGAGTGTGACAGTGGGCCTGGCCATGTTTGCTATTTTGGCCCCAAGGGGGTGGACTTTCTGAGAGTCACCTTGGGCCTGGACTGCTGCATTGCCACTACAGATGAACTCTCTCCTGCAGAAGTGCTTCCCAAGCCTTTGGCAGTGGTGGATCATGGTCAGCACTGGGTGCCCATGTGGCACAAGGCTGTGGCTGGCCCTTAAGCAGGCCGCACCTGCCTGTCCACAGCTGTGACCTTTATTTGGAAAGGTATCAGCCAGTGGCTGAGCGATGTGGTGCCCATGTGGACTGCACCTGCATGGCTGCAGGTGATTGTGCAGTCCACAGTCTTCTCATCTTGCCTGAGCTGCAACCCAAAGCAGATGCACCACGAAGAGGGCTTAGGGTTTTGGATCTAGGGTTTGGGGTTTAGGGTTTAGGGGTCTTCAGAGCTTAGGCTTAGGCACAAATTCTCTTCCATTCATTCCCCACGAACCAGCAGTAAGAGTACTCCACGTAAGCCCGAAGCCCTCAACCCTAAACCCTGAACCCTAAACATGAAGGTTTTTGGTCCGATTTTGGACCTAGACCCGAAGTCCGAAACCCTAATTGGGTTTAGGGTTTAGGGTTTCGGGTTTAGGGTTTAGGGTTTAGGGTTTAGGGCGACTATACCTCCTGCTAAGATTCGACCTTTGAGGAAGGGCTCGGAAGATCTCAATGAAACGAGGCATCGACTGTCCACAGGAAGTGTAGGGGTGAGGGCTTAAGGTGCATAATTTTCAACAGCCTCCACCAAGCTCTTAAACAACAAAACGCCGACGAATGGAAGCCTCCGACCCCTACGCCTTGAGCCTTAAAAGCCTTCAGCCTACAACCCGAAAGCCCTAAAGCCCTTCGACCTAAAACCCTGAACCTTATACCCTAAACCCCTAAACCCCTAAACCCCTAAACCCCTAAACCCCTAAACCCCTAAACCCCTAAACCCCTAAACCCCTAAACCCCTAAACCCCTAAACCCCTAAAACCCTAAAACCCTAAACCCCCTAAACCCCTAAACCCCTAAACCCTAAACCCTAAACCCCTAAACCCCTAAACCCCCCCCCTAAACCCTAAACCCCTAAACCCTAAACCCTAAACCCTAAACCCTAAACCCCTAAACCCCTAAACCCCTAAACCCCTAAACCCCTAAACCCCTAAGCCCCTAAGCCCCTAAACCCTAAACCCTAAACCCTAAACCCTACACCCTAAACCCTAGACCCTAGACCCTAGACCCTAAACCCTAAACCCTAAACCCTAAACCCTAAACCCTCCTAAGCCTGAAGGCGATGGGGAGATGCTTTGACCGGCTCCTTCGGTCTCTGCATGCTGGAGGCCTGGTGAAGGAGGGCTCCGAGGAAGCCCTAGGAGCAAGAAAGCTGTAGGGTTTAGGGTTTGGGGGTTTAGGGTTTAGGGTTTAGGGTTTAGGGTTTACGAGCCCTGGAAGCTCCTATAGTCTTTGCAATCCCCAAAATCCTGAAGCCCGCAAAGACCCTCGGTTCTGGGCCTTTTTGATGATGTTGGTGTCTCTATTGAAGGTTCGAAGCTGCAAAGCTCAGCTATGTGAGCCATCCCGCAAGCCTTCCTCCGGTTTAGGGTTTAGGGTTTTAGGGTTTAGGGTTTAGGGTTTAAGGTTTAGGGTTTGGCCAAGCAGGTGATGATGCTAGATATTCCCACCACCCAGCGCTTCATCAACGACTGCGTTTCTTTCCACTTCGACATTGTGCAAGGCCCGCCGCAGGAGTGGTGGGGGTGTTTTGACAGTTTCGGTGGAGGGTGCCAAGGAGCACTCCGGTAGGTGGGTAGGATTTCCCTTTTTGGGCCCATGAGCACCTATGCCATCAAGCAAGTACCCATAACCCTACTGTCCTACTCTTACACTTGCGGAGTTTCGGTTAGGGGGCTACCCCGAACCCCTAAACCCTTGCCAAACGAGGGAGACTGCAATCAGTCCCAGGTATGTCCCGGCAGTACATGACTTCGCCGGGTGCGTTTGCCATGGGCTCGGGCCCAAGTTTCCGGTTTCCTGCAATGTTCATTGCTTGATTATAGCCCAGAGTCGGTTGCTATATGGGGGTTTCCGAAATTAGGGGTACCGTATTGGGGTCCTTGTACAAGGGAATCCTACTATTTGGGGGTCTATATTAGGGGCCCCTTATTTTCGTAACCGAACCAGAGCAACCCCATCTTGACTGTGACACTCCCAGCCTCAGTCGGCAACCGGCTCGGACGCCCCTGTGGTGCACTAGACTTGGGGGCTGGCCCGAACCCAAATCCCTGAGCCCTGCACCTTGAAACCCCAGCCCTAGAGCCCTAGATCCCCAGGCCTAAAGCTCTGGAGCCTCCACCTTGATGCTTTCCATGCCCCTGTGCTTGCTTGTGCTTGTGAGCTCCAGTCGCTTCAAGAGCCGCTTACCTTTATAAGGAATCCTATAGGAACTCTGCGCAATCCAGCCATGGCTCACCAATGGTTCCCGCGTTTTAAGGAAGGGCTTCCGCGCGTGGATGGCAAGGCCTTCGCCATCACCGGGACCACGCAGGGCCTGGGGCATGTGGCCGCATGGGTGGTGGCAGGCCTGGGAGGGGAGGCTTGGTAGGCCAGTGGTTACCCTTTACCCTTTTTTGGGGTTCTGGGTCACCTTTATCAAGTAACCAACTTGAAGAAGGGAACCCTTGTTATGAGATGAGCGCCTGCCTAAATTATGTTTGTCTGAGCCAGTACTACGGTGGACACGAGTTGTTAAACCATGGAAAGCGATATGGGCCCCACCTAAAGCGATAGCATTAGTTGGCACATTCAGACACATGTATCCGGAGTCCCATAGTATGTAAAGCGATATGGGCCCCACGTAAAGCGACAATATGGCATTCCGCGACCTCGCACTGTGTAACGTGATTTTGTCCGTCGCTCATATGGTTACTGGGCTACCAAGGAGGTCTTGCTGCTCAACCGGAAGTCTGCGCGAGTCGAGGACTCGCTGCGAGACCTGAAGGCCATGGGTTCCCTCATGAAACCTTTGAAGCAGCAAAAAAAAGGTTCACTTGTTGTTCCTATAGGTTGTTTGGGGACCTAAAAGGCCATGGCTCCAGATGGGAAGTTTGTGAACATCGAATGCGACCTCCAGGATTTTGAGAGCGTCCGGCGTGCGGCAGCAGAGATCAAGTCGAAGTACAGGAAGCTCTACTGCTTGTCCCTGAACGCAGGCATTGTGGCGATGCCGGACAAGGCGACCAAGGACGGCTTTGACGTCCAAATGCAGACCAACCACCTGTCGCACTTCCTGCTTGCAGCCGAGTTGATGCCGCTTCTCGAGGCCGAGGCACAAGAGAGCGGCGATGCCCGCATCGTCACCCACACGAGCATGGGCCGCCTGCACACCCGGAATCGATGCCTAGAGGAGAAGTACTTCGGTCGAAACGGCGGTAATCTGGGTGGCAACTCTACGGACTTCATGGGCGATGGGTGTTTCGCGCGCTACTTTCAGACGAAGCTGGCGAATACTGTGTTCACCTACTCCCTGCATGAGAAGCTGAAGAAGAGAGGCTCCAAGGTTCGCAGCATTTCGGCTCACCCTGGCGGGTCTCAGACAAACTTTGCCGATCATCTGCCGCACATGGCCTCTTCAGTGAGCACATTTCAGTCACAGGAGGATGGCAGCATGGGCCTGCTCACAGCCATGGTGAGCCTGGGTCGAAGTTCGATGGACCCTCTTGTCCCTCTCTTGCGCAACCCCTATCTTCCCAAAGAAAGTTGATTTTTGCATACGGAAGCCCCAAACCCGAAGCCCTGGAAACCCTAAACTCCCAGGAGTTTGGATGCCCAAAGTGGCGTCCTCTACGGGCCCAAGGGCAGCGGCATCTTTGTCATAGTTGGGTAACAGTTTACATATTTAAGGGTACTTAAACCCAATAAGGAATGACTAAGATATGTTTAACCCTAAACCCTAAACCCTAAACCTTACACCCTAAACCCTAAACCCTAAACCCTAAACCCTAAACTAGGCATGAGCGGGCCGGCGGTGCCGAACGCCGTCGAGGCCGTGGAGGTCGATCCGAGGTCGGTGGCGCTGCTCTGGCGCGCCAGCGAGGCAGCCACCGGAGTGAGCCTCTCGGTTTAGGGTTTAGGGTTTAGGGTTTAGGGTTTCCCGGTTTAAGAAAATGCGGACCCAGTGTGGGGGCCCTTAGTCCCACTTTTTTGTTTTGGGGGTGTAGGTTCCCTTGTCTAAGCCCCCTCTCCAAGCCCCTTTGAAGCCCCCCAAGCCTGTTCTACGCCCCAAACCCCTTAAACCCCTTAAAACCCTTAACAACGCGAAAAAGCCATTTAAAACTCTTAGAAACCTCAAAACGCCTTCCAACAACCTTAACAAACCCTTCTGAACACTTAAAAACCCTTAAGCACCCTTACACCCTAACCCCCCCCTTGTCACTACAGTTTGTCGCTTTCGGGCAAAGAAGTCCCTCAGCCGACGGAGCTTGGTCGTGGGGCCGAAGCGCCAAGAGGGGCATAAAAGGACTCGCCAAGCCTTTGGGGTTCAGGGTTTGGGATTTAAATGATTTAGGGTTTGGGGTTTCGGGTTGTTGTTCTTTTTGGGTTGGGGGGTTTAGGGTTTGGGGTTTGGGGTTCGGGGTTTAGCGTTACGGTCTTCTTCATAGACCCTAAACTTCAGACCCTAAACCCCTGAATCTTCTTCTTCCCGAAATACAACTCCCCTGTCATGCCTTCTCTCCCACCCAAAGTAAACCCCAACCTCCAGTTCCCTCGGCCCCTCTAACCCCTCTAAAGTCCCCTAAAGCCCCGCCACCCAAAAACCCAACAAAAACCCCAAATCCCCTGACCCCACCTGGCTCCTAAGTAACCCCCCAACAACCCCCAAAACCTACAATCCCCTGAGCCTCAACTGGCTCCTAAACTACCCCCGAAAAGCGTACAGCTGAGAGTCCCCGAGGTGCTGCCATGGCCGGGTTGCTGCCGGCCAACGTACGGCGGCCCTGTCGCGCTTGTGCCTGGAGGGTTTAGGGGTTTGGGGTTGTTTAGGGCTTAGGGCTTAGGGCTTAGGGCTTAGGGCTTAGGGCTTAGGGCTTAGGGCTTAGGGCTTAGGGCTTAGGGCTTAGGGCTTAGGGCTTAGGGCTTAGGGCTTAGGGCTTAGGGCTTAGGGCGTAGGGCTTAGGGCTTAGGGCTTAGGGCTTAGGGCTTAGGGCTTAGGGCTTAGGGCTTAGGGCTTAGGGCTTAGGGCTTAGGGCTTAGGGCTTAGGGCTTAGGGCTTAGGGCTTAGTTTGTGTGCGGTGTCGGTGGGATTTCGGGCTTGGGGGATACTAGTAGGGCTTAGGTTTAGGTGGCCTTACGGTTTAGGGCGTATAGGGTTGCGGGTTTAGTCACGGGTTTAGTGCCGAATCTTCTGGAGGATTTGTGTCAGACCCGGGCATGTCATCAGAGATTCCTTGGACTCAGATGACACCCCTTCGATTTGTAGGCCTTTGGTGGATTCCCTTTTTAGGTTAAGCCCTAAAGCCCGAACCTCAAATTTGTAAAACGCCTTGAGCAAACAAGGGGCACCCTGTTTCATTCTTTGGCCACTGGGCAACCCAGACTTGTAATTTTACGTTAGGCAGACTCTAATATCAAAAGAGCGTGGTGTGGGTCACTACTTTTAGTCGAAACTTTGAATGTCGTCCCTAAGAGCTATAGACCCCTAAACCCTAAACCCTAAACCCAAAAGAGCCAGGAACGTGCAGACGTACCCCGAGGATGGCAAGTACTGCCGCATGATCAATCAGCACTTGGTGAGGCGGGGCATTCTCCCAAAACCCTGAACCCTGAACCCTGAACCCTAAACCCTAGCCCTAAACCCTAAACCTTAGCCCTAAACCCTAAACCCTGAATCCTGAAGATCGGCTTCGTGGGTTTGGGGCTTGGTGTTGCAGGAAGGTGGTGCAAGGAGTTCTGGGCTTCAGGGCGGCTGCGAGAGTGCGATGCCCATGAGGATGTAGGTTTCCCCAAACCTCCCCGCAAAAGGTTGCGCCCAAGAACTTAAGTCCCTAAACAAGGCTTCATCTGGGTCGGTCCTCCGCAAGAAGCCCGATACCGCAGACTCACGGGGTTGCGACAGGCCCCGAGCCCTAAACCCTAAACCTTAAACCCTAAACCCTAAACTCTAAACCCTTTAAACCCTAAACCCTAAACCCGCGAAGTGAATGCGCAACCCTCAGGCCTTTTCAAGCATGTTAAAGGCAGGCGTGTCGGTTTTTGAAGGTGTTTGTTTTGTTTTGTGTCTGTTGTTATGTTTTGTTTTTTTTTTTTTTTTTGGGGGGGGGGGGGGGCTTAGGGCGAGCTCGCAAGTGTGGGTGGGGGGGGGGAGTTTCGGGTCAGTAGTTGGGGCCCAAGCTCCAGATGTAAGGGTACCCGTCATCCTCGAATTCCCTGAAGGGACCCCCCTAAACCCTACACCCTAAACCCTGCACCCTACACCTTAAACCCTAAACCCTAAACCCAAAAGGGATCCACCCGGCTTAGAACTTCGAGAGAAACACCCGGAGCCTGAACCGAAGCCCCAAAAGACCCCGCGAAGGCGAAAGTATTCGATTCGCTTTGCTGAGTCGGGCGACTTGCCCAGCCATCCCGGCAGGTCTTTTAGGGTGCAGGGTTTAGGGTGTAGGGTTTAGGGTGCAGGGTTTAGGGTGTAGGGTTTAGGGTGTCGGTTGGAGACGCGTGGCTGGCGCTCTCTCTCAACCCTAAACCCTGAACCTTAAACCCGTAAACCCCAAACCCGGAACCCCAAACCCGTAAACCCTATCCATGAACGCAACAAGTTGTTCTTTCTGGGGGACTTGCTTTTGTTCCGAGGTGTTTTTTGTTTTTTCCAGGGTTTAGGGTTTAGGGTTTAGGGTTTAGGGTTTAGGGTTTAGGGTTTAGGGAAGCCCCAACACCCTAAGTCCCTTAAGCCCTCAGCCTCGTTTGCTTGAGTCTTGGACAGCGCGGCCAGCGCAAGGGGCCCAGGGCTTGGAGTTTAGGGTTTAGGGTTCAGTGTTTAGGGTTTAGGGTTGAGGGTTTAGGGTTTAGGGTAAGCCCTAAACCCTGAACCCAAAGGCTCTTTGGGGCTTATGGTTTAGGGTTTTGGGATTTGGGTTGTGGGACATTAGTTAGGGCTTATCTGGACAGGGTAGAGGCGAAATGTAAACCCTGCAATGTGGAGGGGTTCAGTGAAGCGCCGTGTAGACATGGTGCGCCGCACCACCAAAGCGTGGGCTTCTGAAGCTTCTGGAATTGAAGGTTTTTTTGCTGGTATGTGCTTTGGACCCTAAACCTTAAACCTTAAGCCCAAAAGTCTGTGGGCTTGAAATGTTTGAGCCCTAAACCCCAAAGTCTTTGGGTTCAGGGTTTGGGTTTCGGGGTTATAAACCCTGAAAACCCTAAACCCTAAACCCCAAAAATCCCTAAACCCTTTCCCTCAACCCTAAACCCGACATCCCTAAATCCCAAAGCCTCCGCCCTCAGCCTGGAACCTGCAGCCCTCGGTCCTAAAGAAGCCTCGATCCGAAACCTTAGGGTTTAGGGTTTAGGGTTTAGGGTTTAGGGTTTAGGGCTTAGGGCTTAGGGCTTAGGGCTTGGGGTTTGGGGTTTGGGGTTTAGGGTTTATAAGGTTTAGGGTTTAGGGTTTAGGGTTAGCCCCAAGAAGCCCTGAAAGCCGACATCTGCCAGGCCTTGTCAGACTTGAGGAGCTTGCTTGGGCCCAGAATCTGCGTGTCCGGGGCCTTAGCATGGGCTTCCTATGCCTTCTTAGGGTTTGGGTTTTAGGGTTTAGGGTTAGGGTTTAGGGTTTAGGGTTTAGGGTTTAGGGTTTAGGGTTTAGGGTTTAGGGTTTAGGGTTTAGGGTTTAGGGTTTAGGGTTACCTCCGCCCCTCCTCCTGCCCCCCCCCCCCCCTCCACAGCTTGGGGTTTACGTTGTAGATTTTGGGGTTGGAGCTTACAGTACCGCGCTCTGATTCGGCTCAGAGGCTTTTATATGACTTTAACAATCTACACCCGGACAGAAAGAAACAAATGCCCGCAGAAGGCCGAACCCAGGGCCGTATTCTCATACAACCTCCTACTTCGAGAGTCCAAGTCTTCGGCTCCTGAACCCTTCCTTCTTGGTTGGTGTCGAGCCTTTCAAGCATGGGGTCCTCTTTGAGGGGAACAAGCCAAGCAAACCAGGTCGGTTGCTGTGGCGTTGGGCGCTTAAGCCCTACTGGCTCCCTCAACCCTAAGCCCTCAACCCCAAGCCGCAACCTCTGGAAGACAAGTCCTTTACTTCTTTGAGGGCCAAGGCGGCGAAAGCCGCAAAGAAACGTGCGCAGTCGTTAAATCTCGAGCGGAAGTCTCGAGCGGAAGCGAAGACAAGGAACCCAGAACCACTATGGCCGCCGGCTCTGGGGCTTTCAGACCTCCTGAGGATGAGGGATGTTTTGGCTGCGAGGGCTTAGAGAAGGGTTCCTTCTAGGCTGCTGGGAGATGCACGCCCAAATCCCCAAACCCTGCACCGCCCAAGTTTCCCTTGATCACGGATCATTACCCCCTTATTCTGACTAGGGAATGAGGGAATTAGGGCCCTACATATACCCTTTAAAGGAATATGTAGGGGACCTCATTCCCTCATTCAAGAACCAGCCAGCAGTAAGGGCAGTTGCTCAACCCCTCAACGCCTCAACCCCTCACCCCTGATTTCAGACTGCTAAACTGGACACCCAAAACCTCCGCCGACCTCGCGGACCGAGGCGA